TATTTGTTAATAAAAATAAATGTATAAGGATAATAATAATTGGTCTCGAATGTTAGGTTATTTACTAGTTTTAATATTGTTAACGTGTTCATTATGTTTTATAATTGAATATGAGTTTTTAGTACTATGTTCTATTAAGTATTCACTTTGTAGTACGTATACCTTATTGTGTGACTTATTGAGTTTCAAAGAGTAGCTGAAAAAACCCTCACTCATCCGTTTCATAGCGTTCATTGTTAAGTTGGAATCCGCTGCACTTTGATTATGAAACCAATTGCAAAGTTCAAGACGTCTTTTATATTTTTGTTATACTACTAATATTTTTGTCTGCATCAGTTGGTACACTTTTGTAAATGGTTATTTTTTTTAATTCAACTGTTTATTTTATACCCTTAAGTGTACCATAAATGTATCGTATATTATATCAAGATATAGTTGAACTACAAAATTATTTTTGTTTTATTTACTTTTATTTTTTATGTAAATGTAAAACAAGTTTATTTATCTGAAAGATTGTAGGAAAACATCGTTTTCTTTACTAAATTCTATCTGAAAATATTTTTACAAAGGGAACAATTATAGTGCATTATAGAAAACGACCAAAACTAAGAAATGTCCTGCACGTCTTTAAAGCATTAAGATTCCTAAATGTGACTTTCAACGTTCAATATTTCTCGAAAATCAAAATCAAGGTACTACAAAAGTACTTTTTTATCTTTTCGGGATATAGATACGTAGTAAAATGCATAACATATTCGATGCAATGTACCTGCACATCTCAAATATTATTAGAGATGGTGGGTTGTGGTTTTGACGAACGTTGGTGATTTCTTTAAGAGTAGTTTTCAGGCCAGAGTTATATCCAAAGAATTAATAATTTCATATTTCTAGTAGCGGCTACAGTTGAACAGTTCTGAAATGTTGCCAATAAGTCTTATATTTTTTTCAAAGGATCCTGTAGTTCAGTAACTATTTTTTAGTAACACAAACCGTTTTCAATCGAATCCATAGTTGGCCACGCTGTGGTAAAAAATACGTTGTCCTGCGTTTTGAAAAATAGATAATTTGTCGTACTTAACTCAAAAAGTAAAAAGTGCAAAAAGTTCGTTCTTCTCGGGGTCTGTGTATTCAAACAGCGATTTGCTCTCTTTAATAAAAATTGAAATACCCTGGCAGAGCTAACAGGTTTGAAGGGAAAATTTAATTGTATGGTAAAAACCAATATTTTGATACCTTCCTACAATAAGAAATGTACCTTTGTAAAAAACAAATATGTTACATATTCCTGTTTATAAATAACAACTTCAAACAATTCCAAACAACAAAACTATCTGTTTTAAAAAGTTGATTATGTATATTATTAATTTTTATTTCAATAATATACTATCTACTAGTGCCATTTATGCACTAATATACAAAAACTGCTTTTTACGAAGCAGTAAGTAGGTATGTAAATTCTTTGTTTACTATTTTATTATTTTATTTTAATAAATAAAAAACCTATTTAAGTACAATTACCTGGTTTTATACATGATAATCCACAAGCTCCATCACAAAGGCACTTTTTCTTCTTACTTTTGCAGTCTTCATCGGATGAACATTTTCTTAGACATTGCTGACCCTGTAATAAAAAATTGTTTATAATTTTTACTTTTTTTAATTTTTAATAATTGCTATATACCTATTCCCGCGGAAATGTAGTGAAAATATAAATTATTATTCTTATTAGCCCGTTAAATTTAAATGTTTTAATTCTTTGACTAATCAATGTCTGATGCGCGTGTTGCATTTTGTCTATCGAGTTGATTATTTTTTTGTGTATTGATACTACCACAGACAAAATAGCTATCGCCTAATATTCTATGTGATACTACTGTCAGTGACGTAACTGTCAGGCAGCTGCCACGCTTAGTTTGCATTTAGCTAGCGTTTTTGGTGATTTTGTGTGGTGAAATGTCAGACCAGATATTTTATGTTAAAAACGAAATTAAGTGCAACGAATTGTTAAAAATGTTAAAAAATGCCTTTGGCGACGATACTATGTCACATTCACGAGTTTATCAATGGTACAAATGTTTTCAGGAAGACCAAGAAGACGTCGAATATAAGGCGAGATCTGGTCAAATGTGAAGGTCCTTCTAACCGTTTTCTTCGAATTTTTACTGCCCGGTCGTAGAGTTAACAAGGAGTACTAACTACAATTTTTGCGCAATTTGTGAAGAATTAGGTGAAAATAACAAGAACACGAGAGATAACACGTTGTCGAGTTCTTTGATCTTTGTGTAGTGTTTGAGCGACATGGGTCTTCCGTGGAGACATCGGGAGTTCTAATCGAGCCCTACGTTGGGCGCCATGTCGAGTTCTTTGATCTGAAGTGCCTAATATTTGAGAATTGTGAGGGAATTCAACAACCTGGGCTCGTCGCGATGACGTCGAAGCTGAACTTAGAGCCCCACGTCGAGCGCCATGTCGTGAATTATGATCTGAATTATTGGTTCCCTGACCTGGGTCCGCGATAGAGACGCACGAAGTTCAAATCGATCGTCACTTGGGACGCCAGATCGCATCAGATTTTCAAGCGACTGTGGTCTGTGGTGGATATGGCCTACTTTCTAAATAGGGACTACTTAGGCGGTAATCGAATGTTCGGGGGAAATCATGAGAGTGGACGGGCGATGTACCAGAATTGCTTAGATGGAAAGAGCCGGCTACGTCACCTACGACATAGTCGGCTGAGGAGTTTTCGCATGCCATGGCATCCGAACGAGATGCGCATTGATCCCGCTGGGTACCATTTCGTGAAAATGCTGTGTGTATCGCCGGCGCCAACGGTTCCACGTTCCGGAACACCCGATATCGGAGGCCGACATCGGGACCGGACCGCGAACCGCGGTTGGGCTCATGGGATTCCCCGGACACTACCAGTTGGTACGTAGGTATAACCTCGTCCCGAGTATGTGTGGTTGACCCACTTCGTGGTAACTCTTGCATGCTACTGGTTTCCGTGGGCACGTCTTGAGGGATACTCGAGGTGGTATCGGTAACTCGTGTAGTCGCGGACCTCAGCCTGTACGGCACTGTGGCATCGCCGTGCCGCCTACTACTACGAGCTACCACCTTCGGCTCCCCAGACTCTCCACGGAGCACCGAGATAGCGTTTGGGGGGAACGAGGTCTCGTCCAGCTCAGTCTTGATCAAAGAATCACGATCTGATTTATTTGTTGTACCTTCGAGGGCACCAATCCTCGTAGCACTGGATATCGATGTCGCGTCGCAGGGATACATCTTACCCCGTAGGACAATGTCGGAGCCAGCTCCTTTGCTCCGAAAGTCATATAGATGCACTGACTCTACTTTAAATGTGGATCTCTCGAGGGAGCCCTGAGAAGTAAGGATACTTCTTCAAATTTTGAAGTACGCCGCCGCGATGACGTGCGTACTATTGCTTTGAATCCGTAGATTGCAAAGAAAATGTCTCGTAGGGGTTTGACGAGGAAGGTTGCCTCGACGAGTGACCGCCTAGAGGTTTGACGAGGAAAGTTGCCTCGGATTTGCAGATCTCGATAGTCTGAATATTGTAGGTCTCGTAGGAGCCTATGTNCGCCTCAGGTTGGGCTACCTCGGGCGGTACACTGGTCTCTGGAGGAGCCTGGGGTATCGCTGTGTCGATGCAGGAGGCTATCGCACAGGATCTTCGTCGGAGGTGGTCAGTCTCGGACGGTATCACAGGTCTCAAAAAGGATCCTGGAATTTACCGCTGTTTCGATGCAGGGGGCTATCAAACAGGGCCTTCACCTCAGGCTAGGCTACCTCGGGTGGTATGTCTCGTGAAGCGAGTAGTGGTTGCTAGGCACTATAGATGTCCGCGTCAAGGTGTGGCAGCCTTGACGGGAGCCTCATGAAGCGAACCTGTGAACTTGAGCTCCAAAAGGTCTTGAGTTTGATGACAGGTTTTTTTCAACAAACCGTGGAAGATATGTTAAAAGTATTTATTGAACAGAATTAACAGACAATAAAGGTTCACAATTAACATATACTGCGAACGTCGGAAGTAGACGTTCGATCGCTTTCCTCCGATCGCCATGCTTTTGGCGGACCGCTTGTGAATCGTCCGCCAAAATTTCCAGTAAAAAGCGCCTCTGGCCTCTCCGGATGGTTGATGTCGGCATCGGGGATTTTGGAGTTTTCTCCCATATTGAGAAAACTCTACCCGCGGTCTCGGCCTAGGGTACCGAGCATCGCATCCAACCGCCAAAGCGGTGGGACCTTCGGAAGACGGTCCTTTCAGCCCAAAGGCGGGGAAACTGGAAACATCGGTAAAATTTTCCCCGTCTTCGTAAAAGGGCTTACGGGGGTTTTAATACTGGATGGAACGGGTTCAAAAGTGGACTGGTAATGCACGGCACGAAGCAGTGCCGTAGTTGGAGGGTTCGGTACCGATCGCTCAATAACTTTTCGAGTTATTGACGAAAGCGTCTTTGACCATTCGAAAGGTTAGTAACATTTTTGATGGTAGTTTCCAAATATCGCCCTGAAGCGTCCCGGGGTTCGTCTGCAGGTTGCGAGAGTCGCTGCAGCGGATACTGAGCGCAGGGATGGCAGACCCAGGCGAGATCGGTCGCGATGCGGTTGCCATTGGAAACATCGGTGAAATTGGTCTTCGATGTCTGAAATGATACCGTGAAGGCTTTTTTGATTTGCCCGGCCGACGGCGATTAGTTTTGCAACCGTGGCGGGTTTTTGGTTTGGATTGGAAAGGTAGGCGAATTTGTTTGTTTCGCCTCCTTCCCAATTCAATGGTCTCAGGCATATCCGTAGGTACAAGACGACTTCTAGGAATATACTGAGTGTTCTGAAATTCTGATGCTCGCTCGAAGGGTCGAATACGACAACGTGGATTTTGCGCCACAACAGCGCACCGACACATACCACCGCCTTGCTTATCCAACAGTTCTTGGCGAAACACAACACCGTTGTGATGCCGTAAGTACCCTATTCTCCGGAAATTATAAATATTTAGCATCAAAGAATAAGTTCTTAAAAATCATAAGAATAAGTTCTTAAAAATCATAATCCTCCCATGCATTCGATGGATCAGATACTTCTGTCATGTTCCTTTATATCACGTCAAGAAATCAGAACCACTAAATTTTAGAATAACAGTATTTCGGATAAATTAAGGGAAATCAACTGTTGGGACAAATACTATTAAAACAGTTCAATATTCTTAAAAAATCAAACGAAGGAATAATATAACAGATAATTTGATTTTCGTTTGAAATAAATTTTTAGTTTGAATAAAAAATAGAGGTTTCTGTACCAAGCAGAAATATGATCGTAAAAAGAAATCAATCAGTGAAACTACTGGCAGTATCTTTCTTCGGAATTATAATGAAGTGGTTGATCAACATATTAATGTTTTTTAATTTTTAAATTACACACACATTTAGTTTATAAAAAACACCGACTCTACCTAGGTCCCCAGAGGTTTTTGGGATCGTTTATTCCGGTGCCGAGGTCGGTTCAGCTCTATCACGTCAGGTTCAAGGTCATTTGAAGACTAACAAACAATCAGACACGTGTGCAGGTAAAAAGGCACACAGATAAACAGACTAAAGTAGGTAGGTGAACATTCGTAAACATATTTTCACCTCCATTCTTACTTTAACCTTCAAATGACCTTGAACATGAGGTGATAGAGATCAAGCGATATCGGATTCAGACTCAGGACCCAAAAAACCTATGTATCAATTTTTTAAATTTTTTACAAACACTTTTTCTTAGTTTGACCTTCAAATGACCTTGAACCTGATGTGATAGAGCTTAACCGATCTCGACATCGGAATCAGCGACCTCAAAAACCCCTGGGTACTTATGTAGAGTACGGTGGTTTTTTTCAAATTAAATGTTGACCTGCGTTATTATCAATCAATTTAAATATCATGTGAGGTTGTGAGGTAATAGAGGTAGAGAATTAAGTTATATCCTTCAAGATATGCCTGAATTAAATCGAACAATAAAAGGATGTATTATAATTGCATCACAATAGGTCTAAGAAACGAAATATATTAGTTTTTTCTCAAAATAACATGGGGAATCATTCCTTTTAATATTGTAGGTTATTTGGAAAATATAGTATATTGTCTTTATAGGATACTTTAATTTTTTCCGACTATCTTGAAAGAAAAAATTTTTTTTGGGTATATTCTACCATTTTTAGAATCCTTAAATATTAGGAAGAAAAACTGTTCTTTATTTTTTTTTCTACGTTGAACGGATTTCCATTAAAATTTAATGGCTGTATCTCCTATAATAAACGACACAGGTCCAGCCAATACATTACAATAATAACTGAGGTCACTAGTATTCATTTATTATCGAGAACTTAAAGTAACATACAAAATTTAAATCTGTAAATGAAACATGTTAGCTGGAGAAAACATAAATCAAATTGGTGGTGTTCAAAGTAGACCCATTTTCTTACAAACTCAGCATCGATTTATAATGAACTGCCAAACTCTTGTTGATTTCGTCATATTTTGTTACAGGCGGTTTCTATTATCTTAATTAATTATCTCTGGGGTAGAATAAAATGTATTTTTATAAAACCCCAAGCAAAATAATCGAGAAAGTTAATAAGTTGTATTAAGCCATTCTCTAAGCCTAAGCCCTAAGTCTGTAATGACAACAGTCAAGGTGAAACCAAAAAATTATTTTTTTAAAAACTTCAACGCCTTTATCTCGAAAATGAAAATGTTTGACGAGTATGTTCATTAAGAATATTTTGCTTAAAATGACCTTTATGCGCTACTGAAGTTCTGCTAAAAAAGAAACACCCTTCGTATAATAATTCGCAATAGACTATATTGCCAAGGATTAAATTTAATAAATACATTTTTTATTGACAAAAAAGGTCAAAAGGTATATTGGCAAAAGATATCTCCTCATCTTGCAAGTGACCTGATTATGAGGTGTAATTTTGATCTCGAAACTAATCGTATGTAATCGATATTTAAAATGAAGGATTGTGAGAGTAGAAGACTTTTGTATTTCCACTGGTAACCTCATTTTGTTCTAGATGAAGGATTTCTTTAAAATAAACTTTTCTTATAAAATCCTGATTGAGCCCTATATAGTTCTTCATATCGCGAATTCTGAAAGATAAAGTAAACAAAAAGTAAGCTAATGGTTTATATGGCTTAAGGGAGTCATTATTGAACGAAGTTGGTACTACCACCAATGAGGTGGATAACATAGGGTATTATACAAAAAACTGCTTGGAAAATATGTTTTTTGTTCAGAACATTATGAAGGTATTATAGAACACATTTTATAATAAGATATTTTTTCATAATAAATAATTTAAAGATTAGTTTAGTAAATTTAACAGGAGAAGAGCATATATCAGGTACAATTAGAGTCCTTTTATAAAAAAACATGCCAGAGATAAAAGGATTTCAATTTTCTATAGCAGTTAAGGATAGCTGAGTATATTGGCGTATTTTAATTTAATTGATTTTATTAAAGAACACAGTTATATTGACTATTTTAGACTAACTTACATATTTTTCAAAGTCCATAATAACAGATCTAGGCCCCTAAATGTTCACAGATTTAGTTTCAAAAGGCTATATCTCATTAGATACTAAGATTTGAGTGTAATTTATACCAATTATAAAAAATTATAAATATAGGCACAAATTTAGAAAAACATATGATTTAATTAGACTATAGCTTATCTAAGTAACTCTAGTAGAAAATTAAAATCTATTTTTCTCTAGAACGATGCATTTTAGTGAGTACAATTATAGCTTTTATACTGAAAAAATTGAAATATGTCATAGATTTTATTTACACAGTGAGTGACATTTATTTCTTATAAAAGGATCCACAGAATTAATTTTGCACATGAAATTGTAATAATACTGGAGTACTGGAGCACATGAATTTGTAATGATACTGGTAATGATAATCGAGATCCGCCTTAATTGTCCCCAAGTCAAATTAGAAGATATGACTAAAGAAAATTTTAAATTTGTCAATTTAAACATGCTTCATCTTATCTCGAAAACAAAAGGTTCTCAAAACATAATTTGAAAAATCCCCTTTAACTTAAATCGTAGAATCTCTTGGTGACGTTTAGCCAATTTGTAATTAAATACCCTGTATACGTACAGGATGTTTTTAAAAAGATCCCATACATTCTGAAGATAACAGAATCCTCTTTTGTTTTTGGGGAACAGGACCACAATAATTTTTTTTAATGATATTTTTTACTAAATACAATATATTGCCATGAATCTTGTGGTACAAGTAAATTATCGATATTAAAAATATTAATATTGTTAGTTTTCTACTGTCTTGTAGAGATCGCTAGTTGAGATCAATTTGAAACTAACCCAAATGCAATTAATTTGAATTGACCAAAATTAAATTTAAAAAAATCTTTGGTGTTCTGTGTCTCAAAGCAAAAGACAATAGTCCCATGTTCCATAGGAAAAAATTGTCTTATTTCTTTTATATTCTATCAGACCTGCAGAATTTAATTTGTGACACCCTGTATAAAGGGAAAGGTAATTTATAGAAATTTACAAAGTAGAAGGCAATACACATATTGGATAAAAACCAATTATACAATTTTACTAAAAAACAAAATTACTGATAGAATCGTTCAATAAATTATATTAAACACAAAAGTGTCCTGACAACAAAGAATTTACTTAGTACTTATATCATGTGGGATCTAGATTGAATACGTTAATCTTTGGAAATAGAATACTAGCATTAGGGTTTTATTATCACAATCAATTTTCCTTACCACTTATCCTAGGACCATTAGTTTAATCCCCAATCCATTGAGGTAATTTTTCATCCAAAAATAGAATAAGTAGCGTTATACCCGAAAAAAATCTGATAAATGGTAGGAATGCGATTAATGAATTGACCTAAATAAAATATATAAATATACTAATTATGCAAATCAAAGATGATGCAGGTTAAACATTTACAGTTTAATTTTATTTTTCAAAGTAATACCTAAACCCTTCTTAGAATTTTTTTTATTAAATCGGAAGTAATTCCATGTCTTTCCAATTATAAAATAGTGCCTTCTTCTGTTATAAACTTAATTTTCAATTTAATCGAGAAAATTGCATCACAAAATGAACACAGTCCACAGGGGCCTGTGTTCCATTTTTATAAAATCGATGAACCCATTTATTTGGTTTTAGGATGGAAATGTTGAACTCACCAGTAAAGTCGCTTGTTCCTCATCCCTGGGGCACAATGTGGACGGTGAATTTCTAGGATTTTTATATATTTTACCATCGTCATCGATTTCTGAGGAATCCTCTTCTTCCAAATCCTCATCGTCGTCATCGGGTGTTGGAGTTGTACTAGACACTGCGTTGCGACGGGCTCTTTTAGAAATCGCTGAAAAAATAAATTATGTTATTTAGAAGGTAATACAATGAAATGTCAGAAATAAAAGACGCGTCTTTTCATATTTATAATTAATTATATTGTAGAATACAACTGCTCTGCAGACTATAGCCCCGTCCGCACCTACAATATTTCGTATAGAACTAAGACCAGTTGTCAACAGAACTCTCAGATAGTTTCAAACTTATTGGTTATTAACTAATAATTACTAAGCTCAAAACCAAAATGATCTTCATAGTTTTACTAGATATTGTGGATGTAACTAAATCCTTTCCCACAATATAATTAGTTATTTTCCTAAGAAGTGCGCAGTGTTACTTTTCCGCACGCAAATACAGTTAGAATTTATTCAATACTTTTTAATTGAACAACAAAAAATTACATAACAATAAAAAATAATAATAGGAATTAAATTATCTGTTCATAATATTTGTAACAAAAAAAAAACAATAATTATTGACATTTTGAAAATTGATTGCATGGGGGCAATGGATGGCTTTTGGTACAACTTGATGAACATTGACTTAGCGCGGAAGGGTAGTTAATATTATGACTTGATGAAGGTTGATTTAACTCAGCACAGTTATTCAAATCGGTCGATGAAGGTTGACTTAACTCAAAAAGGCAGTTGTTTATGTGGCTTTATGAAGGTTGATTTAAAGTAGAAAGGCAGTAGTTATTGACATGGCTTGATGAAGGTTGTCTTGACTCAGAAGAGCAGCTGTTCATATCATCAATATAGCTCTCGGCGACAGTCGTTGATTTCTAGCCTCCCAGTCGTTTGACATTAGTGATTCCTGCTCCAGTATCAGCCAACATGGTAGCCGAGGAACGACGGAAAGTACGTCCTGTATTCTGCTGTGGATTTTTCAATTGTAGATATGCAGCTATTTCCGAATGCATTTTACCGAATGAATTTATTCCAACACATTGAGTATTTCATGCTCCTTTTCTATACTGGGTATTGACGACTATCAAATTTCCTTTATCCTCTCAACCATTATCTTTCAAAGCGCCTGCAACCAACGCAAAAATGGTGGCAACTTTTATTAGGTAAGGTAAATTTGATCATGTCTTTGATAAATCTAGAAACTTCACTTTTGTCAACAATTTTGGCCTTTTTTAAAAGCGGTACTTACTTAAATCCAAGTTTTTTTTTACTTTAAGGATCTTTAACATAGAGTACTTACTCCATAAAGTATTTATGAAATGTTTTTCGTAAATCAATGCAAAATAGGTTAGGATCACCTCCTCCTTGATACTATTTGTCCCTTTGCTGCGGCACCAGTATTTAAAATGTTTATATTTTGTTCAGATTTAGGGAGCAATAAATTTAAAGTTGCACAGTTTGCGGCCTCTAGGCTAGGATGGAATCTGGTAGCTCCTTGCTAGAGCTGCTCATTTTAACAGCGTTTAAAACTTTTTATGATTTGATGGGAGGAAAAGTCTCGGTGTTTGTAGATTCTTGCTGACATAAAAATGGAGGAATAATCTGAATTCATATGTCAAAGTCGACAGGTGCACTTGTTTGACAATATTATACTTAATCATTTATCATTATACAAGGAACTTAAAAAATATTAGTTTTTTTTGTTTCAATCTGAAATACAAATATCGGAAAATACGATTAAAAGTTAAAAGAAAATACACTTGTAACGGTTTCTCACTGCATAAAATAGTCTACAGCTACTAAAATAAATGTAAATTTTCCATACCAATGAGATTTTTCAGTAGTTTTACTTTTCCGCACTAAGTGCGGAAAAAATTTTATCCGCACGGCGTGCGGAAAAGTGTAACTTTGCGTACGGAAATGCATGCGGAAAAGTACTACTTTGCGCACGTAGGAAAACCTTATTTCACCTCATGCAACCCCGGTCTTGCTTTCATAGTAGGTACCTTCAGATTAGTAAGTCGCTCTCCGATAGGCATTGAGTAGTAATGATAAATCAGATATCAAATCAAATCACTATTCACCCTGTTTATAAAAACATATAGGTTTTGTGGACTGAATTATAATGAAAAATGCGATTTCTTCGTTTAACAAAAACGAGTTTTTATTTTTTAATTAATGGTTAAAATAATGACAAGACAAGACGAAGCAAAAAAACAAACAACTCAATCTTTTATTTATATTTCTAACGTTCTCTTTATTATTTTATTTCTATGTATGTACACTCGGTTCCCGTTCCAATTCTCAACACACCATATAAATTTATTGTTTTCTTATACATAGGTTTTTCTAAGATTATGTCATTACAGACTGTTGTTGAGTTATTTTAGAACATAATGTCCTGTTGAACTAAAAATTCGAAATCACTGGTTTTCGAAATAAAGGGTGTTGAAATATGTCACATTTATTCCTCCTTCGTCGCTTGTGAATTAAAACTTTTCACTCGACGATAAAACATAATTTTATCATCTAGTACAATAAATAACTTGTCAACATGAAATAAATCGCATATTTTTTACTTTTTACTAATATTTGTTTACAGTCAACGTTACCGTTATATTTGAAGTTCTTCAAATTATAACATAATTTAAATTTAGTTGTTTAGTTGTTGTAAATGTATTGTTTCCTATTTGAGTTTTGTTGATTTGTGGAGATTGTATGTGCCTAATGTTATATTACAAAATAATGTGAATGGGCCATATTAAAACCCAGTTTTTTAATAACGTACACTAATTGTAATATTTTTTACTTTTTATGTATACAAGTAAATGTATTTTAATACTTTAACAAACAAATTTTAATACTAGAAAGAAAATTGGTTTTAAATTTAGTAAATCTGTAAGATTACAGAAAATAAAATTAACATGGGACTTATTTGTTGCAGGTACCTTATTATAAAAGGTATTTTTTGATAGCGAAGCTAGTAAAACAGAGTATAAATAATGAATCCGTATTATAGTAAGTATTAGTATTTAGTATTAGTATTAGTATAAGTATTTTAATTATTCTAATTCAGAAAAATATATAAAAACTCAAAATCAAACTACCTATTTATTTCAATATTTGTTATTAATTTTGTTAATGACTTTAAAAGTTAAAAGTGTGCATTACGTCTAATCAATATATTAAAAATTTAAAATGAAAGGGTGGCAAGACATCAAAGGTAATGCGAGAGATCGTCCCATTTCGTTCTTAGCGAGAGCTAAGTGAAGACGTAGCTCTTTTTGCTTTCAATTTCGACGCCAAAATTTCGCGCACTCGAGAATATAGCTTTTGCTCGTGATCATTCACGCTAATTATATTAAAGTTTTTCCTTATTATTCCTTATTATTATCTTTATTAAGGAATACTAAAGTCAGGAAGTTCTGATAAATAGACTGAAAAATAAATGACACGAAAAACTTCCAATAGCATCTCTTGCGGCTTTGATGATTTGATGATGATGATGATGATTAAATTTTAAGTACTTCAATAGCAATATAATTTGTTTTTTACTTTGAGAAAACTGAACTACCGTTTGATAAAGGGAGATTAAATGCCGCAGATAACCCTGAATTTATAATAAAAAATAAACAGATAAATTTCAAAGCTGTTAGCTCTTACAAAAATTTAAGGATTATAGTAGATGATAGTATGTATAATTTAGGATTTGAATTAATGTGTGTAATTTAGTGAAAAAATTATATACTTAATATACTGAATATGTTGAACAGGCAGAAGGAGTTTCTGAACAATGATTTAAAATTATTACATGCCATTCGTTCATTCTGTCACAGTGTAGTTTTTTATATTGACCTACATTAACAATTAAATATAAAAGCACCGTCCAAAAATACAAAATAATTGCATTAGATATTCCTTTAACTTGCGTAACTACGACCAATTATCTGAAGCATTTACGAGCTCTAACTGGCGTAATTGGAATGCAAGATTTATTTTCGTACGTCATATCTGACTTTTAAAATAAAACACAAACTTTTACCTTTCCATTTATACAGCAAACTTATTAGAGGCAGCGACATTCATAATTTTTCTTTTCGAACACAAAGAACTTCGCAAATTTAAAGAGGTTCACGTTATAATGCCTTCAAAATTTACAACGATATTCCTACTTATGTTAAGTCGCTCCCAAATCTACAAACAAGTCAAAACTTATATATTTTCCAAAAGATTATTGCTATAGCATTGATTTTATTGTATATTACTATAGCTTAGTTATTGTTTGTTAGTATTGTTGTTAGCGTTATCGCTATCGCTCTTGCTATCGTTATCGTTATCGTTAGTGTTATTGTTATTATTGTTGTTATTGTTATCATTGTTTGTGTTACAGTTTTAGTTGTTGTTTCTGGATCATTTTCTTCCGTTATTTACTTGTTTTCTTGGGTGGGAACCATCCGAAACGTTTGTAATTCTTCTGCAATATCTTTTTTAATTTCTTTCTCTATTTGCTATCACTTTCTTCTAGTCTGTTAAGGCGTTGCTTTCATAACCTATAAAATAATATCCTCTTTTAAAATAATTGTAATAACATTCCTATGATTTGTAGTACGTTTTTCTGCAACAACCTATATATTTACCTAAATTAGGACTATTGATTTTTTCTCTTTCTGTTTCTATACCCTGTATAACGCTCATAAATTTGATATATTTAATAGAAGCTTTTATAAAAGGCTTTTTCTGCAACTCCGCCTTGATAAAGATTACACGAGCAATTTTTCATCACCTTCTTTTAACGTATTTCGTATAAGAGCCAAGAAGACTCCTTTGTTCCTTAATCTAATACTTATGTTCCTTTATATTCATTTACTATCTAAAGATTTTTATTTTTTAATGAATAATGCATTATGACGTAAAATTAATGATTATAGAATCTTTAGAATGACGCATTCTTCCTTATTTGAAAATTAGACTATCCAAAGGTTTTTATTTTGAAAATGATTTTTTTTATGTTGAAAATGATACGATTATCAATTTTTATAGAAATTTGTAAACAGGAATTTATAAATGGAAATATATTTTTACACCTAAATAATTTTATGTT